TCTAGTTTTGTTTGTATGCTGTTCATTCATTCATTCATTCATTCATTCATTCATTTACATTCCTTAAATTTAATGTTGTTTATATTATTTATCCTTTTGTTTAAAAAATAAAGAAGTGAGAAAGTTTCATACAAATATTTTATTCGTTCATTCATTCATTCTTTCTTTCTTTCTTTCATTCATTTGCATGCATTGAATTTATCTTTCATATTATTTATTATTCCATTTTAAAAAAATCACTTAGACATACATAAAAGTATATTCATACTTTTTCATGTTTTGTTGCATATATCTAGTTTTTTTTAGTCTGTCATTCATTCATTTATTAATTTACATAATCATATATATGTATATATATATATATATAATTTTTTCACAAATTTTCTTTTTTTCATATTTAGTTTTCATATCTAGTTTACTTTTTATACTTTTTTGTTTTTAATATTAATTCATATGTAATAGTAATATTTAAACACCTAAAATGTATTATAAATTATTTTATTCATTATCCTGGATTATTTTTATATTTTTTTTCTTCCTCCATTTCCCTCATTCCATATCTCTGCATAATATAATCATTTACTCCACTTACATGTGTCTGGTTTTATTCCCATTATTTTGATTCTTATGGTTCGGGAAGCTCTTTCTACACCCAGCAGTTGGGCACAGCCAAGCATACATTAAACATAATATAATTTAGTCCAGATAATTGCTAGGGACATTTAAAAGATTCATCTTAATAGTCAGAGCTTCATAAGACCATAACCTCTGATTGAGCCATAGTTTATATGTGAAAGTATATGAGAAACCCTTGCCCTGGGCCGTACAGGTTATTATATGTGCAGTAATAATATCAGTGATCTGTTCATGTCTATGCATGCTGGGATTATTGAGCATGCACATGGCAGGAATAAATAAAGTTCAATTCAAATAAAGCGAAATCAAGTTCTGTTCATACACAGTCTGATTATGAAGTCTCACTCTCAGCATTACTGTAAATCCGGACGTACACTGTGTGAGTTCAGGAGCTTGTGAGCCCTTGTACACGTTACAAGTCAGTTAACCTGTTAATTGCATCAAAGCAGTTGGTACACGGAACGACTACATTGCATAGCGAGCCGGTGGCAATTGCATGAGCTCTGGCGCTAAACACATACCTTGGCGTTTTTAATATTGTTGCATAACTTAGGAGGAAAAAAGAAAGAAACCAAAAAGATAGCTATGCAGATGGTTTGGTGAACAGCAGGATACAGCATGGCTGTTCCGTTCAAAAGAAACAACTAGAGAGTGTTTTGTGTGTGTGTCAGTGTATGTGCACGCTATAGAGTTGCTAGTAGTCTAGTTGATGTGGTTGTGTATGATTTATGAATAGGTGAGAGCCTATACACTGGTCAAATTCAGGCCGACCACCCAAATTTTTTCAAATTCTCGGGAGGTACTTGTAAGTTAATCGACATGGCTCTGCTTTCGTTTTGTGTTTTATTTTGTTTTATTGTTTTGTTTTTGGTGTTTTGTTTTGTATTTTGTTTGTTAGTTTTTTATTTTGTGTTTGGTTATTTTGTTTTGTGTTTTATTATGTCTTTTTTGTTGTGTGTGTGTGTGTGTTGCTTTGTATTGTTTTAGGTTTTGTGCGTTTGTTTTATGTTTTGTTATTTTGTGTTTGGTCGTTTTGTTTTGTTTTTTATTGTTATATCTTTTTTGTTTTATATATACATACATACACATACATACACATACACACACACACATATATAGTTTTTATCTCGCTATTCTGACTTTTTTCTAAGAATTGCGATTTTATATTTTCCACAAGTTTTTACTGTATTTTTGTAGTATGAATTATTTGTAATATAGCCTAGTAATTCAGAGCTCACCTTTTGTTTACAAGCGCTAGTTCTTATGACGTCACGCAAAAGCGCGCCCCGTGGTTGGTACATTTGTCTGTTCAAAGTAATAAATTGTAAAATAAAACATAATATTTGAATATTAAATGCGTATTATATATATATATATATATATATATATATATATTAATTTGATCAATATTTTTGGTGAAATTAATTACAATCAAATTAAAAAGCAATACTGTTTATGTATTGCGGGCAACAGGGAGGGGCATTAATATGCGGGGCATTGAAATCGCTGTTGAATGCGCGCTCGCTTTTTACTTTCAATTTCGAGATTCGCAATCACACGTACTCTGTGTACTACAGAGCGGCAGTACTTACCACACATTTCACAAGATTAGTTTGTCAGTGGTGCTCAGGATCTGCAAATCATTCGCCATCGTCATATCAGTCATCTCTTCTTACTCGGTTTATGTGGAAAGTGAAATTGTATGTACTGTAATCTAACAGGCTACTGTAGGGCTGGACAATAATTCAATATCAATATGTATCGCGATATAATTTTTTTCAATAACGGTGATATGATTTTTAAACACATTTCCGATATTTCGATATACATTACCAGTGTTTCCCATACATTGATTTATTTGTGCCGTTTGACTTCGTTGAATAAACATGAGCACTGCACGTTTCAAAATCAAAACACGTCG